GCCCAGAATTTGAACCACTAAAGTCTCAGATCTTGAATGCATCACCAATGCCATCCCTGTTGGAAGCCTTTGCTACTGTTGATGGTAAAGCACGCAGGCACCGTTTAATTCAGCCCTCACTTGTTCCTCTACCAGTGTCTGAGCCTGCTGGGAGTATGGCTTTTGCACCCAACTTTGGATCACGAGCTTCTGGAGGTCAGATTGTTTGTCACCATTATGGAGGGGTTGGACATGTTAAGGCTCGTTGCTTCAAACTTCATCTTAAACTGAAGCAAAAATTTTCTAGGAACCGTTTATCTGGAACTGGTTCTTCTTGTACTGCGGCTGTTGCAGAAACTCCTGTTACTACTGGTGGATCTACTGTATTTCCAGGACTGAACCAGCTTCAGTCTCAGATTGGGCAGATCCAGGACCAGCTTGGCTCCCTTGCTTCTAGAGTTGGAGCTCCTTCAGCTGCTCCCACTGCCACTATTACTACAGGTACTCCTACTGCATTTCATGTTAAGGCCAAGCAGCCCACTTGGGTTCTGGATTCTGGGACTAATGATCACATAACTGGTGAGTTATTAGTTTTTTCTTCTAATGTCATACCTGTTACCCAATCTGTGTATCTTGCAGATGGCTCTACATCTTACATTCACAGTAAGGGTGATGTTTGTCTATCTCCTGATATTACTCTTTTATCTGTCCTTCATGTAACTAAACTTGCCTTTAACCTTTTATCTGTTAGCCGGCTTGCAAAAAACCTCCAATGTGCAGTTATATTCTTACTAGATCACTGTTTGTTGCAGGACCTTTGTTCGAAGAGGATTTTTTGCAGGGGTTATAAGCATGATGGGCTTTACTACTTTGGGGAATCACCAGGAATGAGTCTTCAAGCTTCTGTCCTAACTACTTCTAGTGTTTATGATGTTTCTTTTCGCACCTTTAGTCTGTGGCATGCACGTTTGGGGCATGTAAACTTTCAGTATCTATGTCCATTGTTTCCTTCGTTAAATAAAGCATGTAAGGACCATAAGTTTCAATGTGAAGTTTGTGAGCTTTCTAAACATACTAGAACTAGCTATATTTCTCATATGAGTCGTGCTTCTAGTATGTTTGATCTTATTCATTCTGATGTCTGGGGCCATTCCCCATACTGCTTACTGTTTTCTCTGGACATCGATATTATGTGACATTTATTAATGATTATTCTCGTTGTACTTGGGTTTATTTATTGAAAAAGAAATCTGATGTGTTTATTTTATTTACCCAGTTTCTTCAAATGATCAAAACCCAGTACAACACTGTTGTCCGTAATATTCGTTCTGATAATGGACAAGAATATGTTTCGAATAAGTTCCGGACTGAACTTAATAAAAAGGGGATTTTACATTAACTCACTTGCCCCTACTCTCCTGAGCAAAATGGCGTGGCTGAACGCAAAAACCGTCATCTTACGTCTGTGGTTCGATGTCTTCTGAGTGGTATGCATGTGCCTAAATTCTATTGGCACATGGCTGTTCTTACAGCTGCTTTTCTGATTAATTGTACTCCCAGTCGAGTTTTGGGTGGTAAGGCCCCACTTCAGATTCTCCAGCCTGATTATACATTGTTTCACCTTCTGCCTCGTGTTTTCAGCTGTACTTGTTTTGTTCATAAACGTAGTCCTTCTCGTCATAAACTTGATGATAAATCTATTAGGTATATTTTCTTGGGGTATTCTGCTATGTCAAAGGGCTATCGTTGTTATGATCCTGTAACCAAACATATGTATCATTCTCTTGATGTGACATTTCATGAAACTGTTCCTTTTTATAGTACTAATTCTGTGGTATAGGATTCTCTCTCTTTTGATCTGGAGAAGGAGATTTCTCCTATTGCCCGTCCTGTTCCTCTTTTTGAAAATCACACTGTCCTGGAATCTCCTTCTCCATCGATGCAGGGTTCCCCTCCACTATTGCAGGTTTACTCTCGTCGCCATCACACTCAACCTCCCCTGCCAGAATCATCTTCAGAATCAGGTCCAGGTAATTCTCCTTCTCTTATGGCTCCTACCATTCCTAAGCATACCTCCCGTTATCCTACCCGTGATCGTCACCCTCCTAATTGGTATAGTTTTTCTAGTAGCACTAACCACCCTATTTCCCAGTATGTCTCCTATGATGGTCTTTCAGGTGCATATAAATCATTCCTGGGCAAGATTGGGACCGTTTCTATTCCTCGATCCGTGTCAGAGGCCCTCCAGGATCCCAATTGGGTGTCTACCATGACAATAGAAATGGATGCTTTACAACATAATAATACATGGGAACTTGTTGCTTTACCTGCTGGGGAGAAAACGGTTGGCTGCAAATGGGTCTTTAATGTGAAGTACTTAGCCGATGGTTCTATTGATCGGTATAAGACTCGGTTAGTGGCAAAAGGCGTTACTCAGATTCCGGGCAAAGACTTTAGTGCTACCTTTGCTCCTGTGGCAAAGTTGACGTCTGTGCGACTGCTTATCTCCTTGTCTGCTGCCCATTCTTGACCTCTGCATCAGTTAGATGTCAAGAATGCATTTCTTAATGGAGACTTACTTGAGACTATATATATGGATCCACCTCCTGGATTTCGGGCTGAGGGGGAGTATGCTGGGAAAGTTTGTAGGCTGCGGAAGTCTCTTTATGGTCTAAAGCAATCTCCTAGAGCTTGGTTTAGTCGTTTCAGCGATGTTGTTTTATCTATGGGCTTTGTGCGCTGCCACTCAGACCATACTTGTTTTATTCGACGTCGCTCTGATGGTTGTTGCATTATGTTATTGGTATATGTGGATGATATCATTATCACAGGTGATGATGCCTCAAGGATTGCTCAGGCGAAACTTCATCTTAAAAAGTCCTTTGATATGAAGGACTTAGGTCCTCTTCGATATTTTCTTGGAATTGAGATTGCTAGATCCCGTCGTGGAATTTCTTTATCTCAAAGGAAATATGTTTTGGATCTTCTTCAAGATACTGGCATGCTTGGGTGTCGACCCGCTTCCACTCCTATGGACCCCAATCTCAAACTCTCTGTTGAGTCAGGGGAATTACTTTCAGATCCATCCGTGTATCAACGTTTAGTAGGTCGTCTTATCTACTTGATTAACACAAGGCCCGATTTGACATTTGCTGTTAGTGTGGTTAGTCAATTCATGCATGCCCCTCGCTCAACTCATATGGATGCAGTCTACTATATTTTGAGGTATCTTAAGTCGTGCCCTAGTCTTGGTCTGTTCTATGCCGCAGGAAATCAGTCTGGACTCTCATACTTTACTGATGCAGACTATGCTGGATGTAAGACAGATAGACATTCTACCTCTGGCTTCCGTACTTTCTATGGTAATCATCTCATATCATGGAAGAGTAAGAAGCAAGCTGTTGTCTCTAGATCCTTTGCTGAAGCTGAATACCGAGCTATGGCTCAAGGTACTTGTGAGCTCCTTTGGCTTCAATCAATTTTGGGAGAGTTGGGTCTTGTAAAGAAAGGGTCTTCAAGGCTGTTTTGTGACAATAAATCAACCATTATGCTTACTTCCGATTTTGTTTTACATGAAAGGTCGAAACATATTGAGGTAGACATTCACTTTATTCGAGAGAAGGTTCGATCAGGTATCATTAATCCTATTTTTGTTCCCTCTTCAGAACAGACTGCAGATGTGTTCACAAAGTCTGTTGGGCCTTCTCTTCTCCAGTCTTCCATAGTCAAACTGGGCTTGGTCAACATATTTGCTCCAGCTTGAGGGGGAGTGTTGGAAATCATATCCATAAGTTGACTCAATGATTGTGGCAGATTTATTGGGTCTTCAATATAGGATAATATTTAGGGATTTTATTTTTATTCTGATTTGATTTTATTCTCTTTATTCTGATTTGATTTTATTCCCTTTCCATATTTATAATTTTCCTCTTATATATAATGATAGTCAGGCTGTCAAATTGAGTACGCCAATTTTACCAAGTTACTTTTGTCCCAATAACCTGTCTGCATTTTGTCCAACTTGCTCCAATCCTACAAATTATATCACCACCCTATTGTACTATTGACCCTAAGTATAGAAAATGGTCACTTTGACTAATCTTTTGGCTTTAAAGCGTGGTCCTTATGTTATGAATACCCAATTCTATACTAAATTTACATTCCATATGTTCAGTTTAACAATATCCAACTCTTTACTAAATTTAAATTCCAAATATTCTGTTTTAGTCCTACTTATATTCAAATTTGATTCTAATGCAATTATCCACCTTTCTAATTTTATTGATAAGTTTTCTTTAATAGTGTCCCTTGTAAATCATTTGTGATTTCATCTAATACCATTGTGAATGAATATAGATATGGACTTAGGACAATCCCACATATATAGAAAAGTCACTAGTCTCACCAGATGTAGTGTGAACTCTAGTTTTTGTATTTATATGTATAACTTGAATAATCTTTTATCATTTCAATAGGAATTCGTTGCCTTTACAAAGTCCATCAAATTATATCTCTCAACACCCTATAATGTGTTTTTTTTCCAAGTCTATAAAGTCCATATTTAATTCTTTTTTCTTTACTCCTACACTCCTCAACTGTAAGTAAATAGCTTCCATTGGGAATCTCCCTAGTGTAAATCTACATTGATTATCTTCCTTAATCTTTGTTCTATCACCATTTTTTCATAGTCTCATTGTATGATTCATTAGTTTAACTCATCCATTATTGTTGCAATATTGTAAATCCCCTTTGTCTTTGCAAATAGCCACTATTGTGTTTTTCCTCCTACTTTTAAAACTTTGTTAAAATAAATTTGTTACCATTCAATTCCTACTTTTCCTAACATTGTAATTAACAAACAGTACAAACTCAGAAGAGACGAGCAAATAAAATGAATGGCATAAAAGGACACAAAGCACCCGTATCTCTGCAAGCTTTGAGCAAGAATTGATAGCATAAACAAAGAGGAACAAAGAAAGAAAAGAAAATTGGGGAAGAGAGAGAATAATAAATGGAATTACCGAATTTGAGTTTTAAATCCCCTTTGGTGCTCTGTCCAAGATAATCGACTTCGCGCTTAGAGGAAGAAGTGACAGAGAAGACATCCCCGCCGGCGACGGACTTAGAGTCGACGGTGCAGTGACAGATCATGGGACGACTATTGCCGACGACAATCACATCCCTGTTCTTCCTCCTACCAGGAACGAAGGCGACGACGGAAGTTCTCTGAAGAAGAAGAGGGTTCTTCATATAGGTTGCGACCGCCATAATTTAGCTCAAAACAAAGCCAAAACCCCCCCTCTCTCTCTCTCTGTGTATGTGTGTTAAGTGTTACTAGTCCATACAGTATTATTAAAGCGACAGTAGAAAGAAGAAAGAGAAAGTCCAGCTCTGGTTGTGGAAAACTATCCCAGTCGTTGGGGGCCTTTCCCGGATAAAAAACGGTGATTTCCTTCTTGTCCATGTGCTGTCTTGTGCTTGACCAACGGTTCAACACAAAATGAAAAGAAGGGTTAATCTGATAAAATATTTTTCTGAAAATATTTTTTTATTTGTTTGGTGTTTAATTGTGGTACAATATTTATGAAGAAAAAAATTATTAAAATTTAATAAAAATAAATTATTTATCAATTTTCAGCAAATTATTTTAAATGTCCCGTCCCATAAAATCGACCTCAATCTCGCCATAGACCATTGCCAAAATAAAAATAAAAATAAAAGAATATTTTACTTGAAAAAAAAAAAATTTTTAAAAAAATATTTTACGTCAAAACAAATGGAGTCTAAATTAAAAAAAAAAAAAAAAAAAAAAAAAATTACTACTCCACTACACTATACTCTTGGATAAAAATTTAAAATTAAAAAGTAAATATAATATGTCTTTAAAATATATTTATCACATGAATGAGCAATTTTTTAATGGGTAAACTACAGTGACCTCTCTAATTGTAAATAGATATGAGCTTTGTTAATTTTTTTGCAAAGACTCTTCATGTCAAATTTTGTGGTGAATTGACTTATTTACCTTCATTATTATATTGTTAAAAATATTTAAAATATCTGAGCATGTTAAATGACTCTTTTGCCTAATAAAATATTTCTTTTTTGTTTTTCTTTTTCTTTTTCTTTTTCCCTGTATTCCCCTCTTCTTCTCTCTCCCTTCTTTCGCTCTCTTCTCCACAATCCACTTCCCACTACCATCGCCACCAAGCACCACCATCGCCACTAAGCACCACCACCCTTTAACCACACCGATTGAAAATTGGGATCCAGTTTTCACATATCTGGCAACCACCAGCCGCCACCTCACCACCATCTCCATCGCTAAAACCGCCACCACCATTCCCACCTCGCAACCACTAGCGGCACCACCGCCACCAACGAACACCAGAAGAAACACCTCAACCACATCCTTCTAAGATAAGTGTCGAAATATGCACATTTTGGCCTTTATTCTTATGATCACTATCACTTTAGTCCTATCTTTATTCATTGTTTAGTATTTATTTACGTTATTGTTATTTTTCAGGTTGTTGCATCAGAAAATGGTTCATTCTGGTACATTAAAGTCTTTTTTTGGAGTTGATCAAAATGCAGCGAAGAAAGGAAGCTCCAGAAATAGCCAAAGTGGGAAATCACGATCGATCCTAGCGAATTCATGAACAATCTTGGCTGGCAGAATTCACGATCGATCCTGGAAAAAACACGATCTAACGTACATCGGGCAGGATCATTGAATGCTCGTTTTGGGCCCCAATTTCGAGGAGCCAGGGTCTGCGAGATTGCTTGACTTGAATGTACGGGTCTGACTCATTTTATCCTCCAAGAGTCACCTATAAATACATAATTGAGTATTTTTTACAAAGGTTGGACATTTAGGAATTTAAAAGCTAAGAGAAATTCTAGATCTACTCTCTCTCTTTAGGGGTTTCTACCAAGGAAAAAGAAGAAGAAGAAGATGAACCCAAGCTTGGAGATGGATTGTGAGACTGATAACATCTACCTTCTCCATGAGTAGCTAGTTCTTCACTTAAGGCTTGGATGAGCCCTAAGTTTGTGTAATTAAACCTTTATCTTTCAATTTTGGGGATTATGTATTGTAATTAGTGCTTGGCCTTGTGAATTCAAACTTGGTTCTGCCAAGGTTTATATTGATAATTCTTTCAATTGATTCTCTATATTGGTTACATGTTGTCTTATGTGTGATTAATTAAGGGTTAATCTCTACATTGAGTACTCTTTGTAATTGTGCTTAGTGATGACCGTGCATAATTTTTATTGGATACAATTATTTGTGGTTTGATAGATTATGCTTAATTGATGGGTAGTGCTACACCTTAGAGTAATTGTAGTTAGGTAGACAATTCATACTTGATTTTGATAGTTCATGCTTATCCATTGCAAGTTGTATTATCTTTTTTATTATTGATGTGTGCTTGTAGCCACATTTTTATTACAATGTGTTTTCCCTATTAATTGAAGGCATTTGGTACAATTACAAGAGTTTAGTGGTGTAATCTATGCCCTAAGCCTCTTTCCTTATCACCTTAATCTAAGTTTACTTTAGCTTTATTTAATTTGCATGATCCACATTAGTATAATCAAACCAATCACCATCTTTTTAATCTCACATTCATTGATGTTAAGTTAAATTCAAAGCCAATAATCACTGTGGACGATCCCTTCTCACTATACTAACGTATAAGTGTTTAGTGGTTTTATAAATATAAAAGTTAATGTCATATTTGCCACATGCAAAAAATCTTATTTTTTATAACACTCAATGTGTGCATCAAGTTTTTGGCGCCGTTGCTGGGGATTGACGGTTCTATTGGAATTAAATTTAATATTAGTGTTTATTTGATTGCTAATAGGATTCATTTTCTATTATTTTCTTATCATTGTTTCTATGTGCAATTAGGTACTTGATTGAAAAAGAAGTAAGCCTTAGGATCACGGTATTCTGCTTGGGAGCTTTGTGAGCGTATCTTGTACCCTTGAACCATTTTTGCACATTTCTATATTTGCTTGAGAGATAATCCTTGTCGAGGCTATCAAATTGCTTTAAATTCTCGTTCAAGTATAGGTCTTTGTTGAAACCAATTATATATTTGCATTATGATATTGAGGAGAAAGGGATCATCGTATGTGGATGTATGGTGGTGAAGTTGTTGTTGTGATTGTGCTGTTGTGAGTGCTTGTTGTGTATGCGAGGTATAAGATCTCTTCATAATCCTCTTATTCTTCTAGACCAAGAAATTGAGTCTTCTATTAGGAAATTAAGAGGTAGTGAAAGTAGAGCTATTCATATTCTAAATCATCCGATTAATTCAATGGCATAACACAACCCTCCTCCGGTTTTTCCCGAACCACCTCATGTAATTTCTCCACCTCAGGTAGCTTATCCACTATCAAATCCTCAAATGGTCCTTCGTGATCGTTACATTCCAAATCTCTATAATGCATCGACATGTTACCGATTACCAAATGTGAGGGCTAACCACTATGAAATCAAGCTCGGGATCATCTAAATGTGTCCCATATTTTGTGGATTGAATTATAAAGATCCATATAAGCATTTGAATGAATTTCTTGAAGTATGTTCCACTGTTAAGATCACCGATTTTCGGGAAGAAGCCTTGAGAATGAGGACAACTATTCTAGGATTTTCTCAAAGTGATGGAGAGCCATTCCATGAAGCTTGGGAAAGATTGAATGATTTGCTACGAAAGTGTCCACATCATGACCTTCCAAAGTGGCAACTTGTCCAATGTTTCTATGAGAGCTTATTCGATACTCATAGGCAAATTGTGGATGCTTCATATGGAGGCACATTCTTGCTTAAGGATGAAAATGATCTATTGAATCTTTTTGAGAACTTGAGTGAAAACTCTATGCATCGTTCTTCATTTTCTCGGTCGGGTCGTGTTTCTATGATAGGGGGAAGAAAAATGAAAATCTATGTCATATAGATAAGTCTATTGAGATTGCCACCGAGGTTAAAAGTCTTACTCAAAAGTTTGATCAATTCCTTTCGAGTCAAACTTTAGCAAATCAATTATCCTCCCCCCCCCCCCCTAGGTGCTCAAAATGAAACATGCATGAATTGCCCTCATGGACATGAAATCCCGAATGAGCCTCAAGAGCAAGCTAATGCTACTTTTACTCCTCTGAGACATAATCCTTACTCCAATACTTACAATCCCGGATGGAGAGATCATCCAAATTTCTCATGGAAAAATCAAGGAATGAATGCAAACCCTCATCAAGGAAATTATGTTCCACCCCATCTTCAAAATTCTCAAACTCATGCATATCATCCTCCACCGTATACTCATCATCAAAATGGGGGTCACTCTTTTAATTCAAATCATTAATCTCCTAATCCTCAATCATACTCTCATTCCTCTCAAGCACCCCAAAGGAACTCCGCTTTTGAGGACAAGGTATTGGCCGCTTTGGGTAACCTCGAGACAAATACACAATTGTTTCATTCCCATTCCCAATCTATCGCAAAACTTGAATCCCAAATCGGGCAAATTGCAAATTCTATAAATGCAAGGGAAAAGGGAAATTTGCTTAGTCAACCCAAGCCAAACCCAAAGGCACATTACATGGTGGAATTAAATCCTACATCGGGATTTTGCGGCAATGAGCAAGTCTAAGCAATAACTACCTTGGGAAGTGGTAGAGTCGTTAACAAGAAGGTCAAATTGCCACCAAGTGAATAGAGTGACCCGGTGCAACCACATAGTTGTCCACTACCCATTCCAAAATCCATTTTTACTCCACCGAAAGAAAGTGATCATGTCAAGAAAAAAATTCCATCATCATCTCATCCCCCTCCCTTGGAGAAACCGTATAAGGCTAGGGCTCCATTTCCTCAAGCTTTAAATGAGTCTTCTCTTTTTGGGAGACACCAAGGAAAAATTCATGATATGATAGAAGTTTTTAAGCAAGTTAAAATCAACCTTCCTCTTTTTAACGCAATTTGCCAAATTCCACCCTATATCAAGTTCTTGAAGGACTTGTGTACTCAAAAAAGGAAGTTAAAGAGTCAAGCTCCAAAGAAGGTTCTTCTCACTGAGCAAGTGAGCTCAATCATCAAGTATAACACTCCTCCAAAGTTCAAGCTTGAATGTACTAGGACCTTATTCTATCTTATTTTCCCGTTTTAGTCTAATTTTATGTTATTTCCCTTTTCAGGCATTTATCCCCAGAATAAGTCAATTCAGTTGAATTAGAGAATAAAAGAAGCAATCTTAAGCTTAGTGGAAGAAATGAGCAAAATAAAAAAAAAGTGGTGAAAAGAACCCTTTTTCGATCGATCGAATCAAGCTCCGATCGATCACATTGTGATCGTTCCAACCATGCCATAATCGATCGAGCCTTTTTGTCCTTATCTTCAGGAAATTTCCTTTTCGATCGATCCAACCTTTCCTTCGATCGATTTAACCCTTTTGATCTTATCCCCACCTACCACTTTTGTCCTTTTCCCAAAAATATCCCAAAAATATCTCAGCTTTGTCTTATCCAAAAAGTACGCCGCCATAATTTGATCGATCCAAGCAACCTTGTGATCGATCGAACTGCCTCAAGTGCGTGAAAAACAGAATTACAACTAACTTAAAGGTGTGCTTGTGGTTCAATCATTTGGAGGTCCTAGTACACGAGGTCTGACCATTGGGTGTGACATTTGAGCTAACTATATAAGGATTTTGGCTATTTTAAGTAGATATACAATATAGAGGTTGATTAGTTGGAGAGAGGCTAGAAATTAGAGAGAAAAATACACGTCTTGGGAAAGTTATTCCACTCATCTAGGGTTTCTACCAAGAGGAGGAAGATGATTTCTACCATGGAGATTGTAATACCCCTAATTTTAAAAGGATAGTCTCGGCATTTTAGTTAATTGTTTTGTTGCATTTTATTTGTGTATTTGCCTATTTGTTTAATTATTTGTTTAATTGGGTTATTTGATTGAATTATTTATTTATTTATTTATATTTAAAATTGAATTATGTGTTTAACTATTTTTATTTAACTAAGTATTTGTGTTAATTATTTTCTTTCATTAAGGTTTGCTTATGTGGAAGTTTAATTAATTATTTCCAGTAATTATTTATTAGAGTTTAATTATCTTTTAGGTAATCACGGATTGGGTATAGCCGACTTGGAGATTTAATGAATTATGTTTTTCCTTCTCTTAATATAATTAGAATTAGAGTTGCATTTGTATAAGCCTATATAAATACTTGTATAAGTCTGCCAAGGATTTTAGAACCCAAATCATTTAACAGTGGAGGCGACGAGATACAGAGAGGTCTGAGAGATAATAGAGAGACGGAAACTTGGGGTTTGGCTAAGATTAAGGCTGAACCAAGGGGAGACCGAAGGGAGTGTTGTTCGTGGGTTGAACCAAGGGGCAACGGAGAAGTTAGAACAGTGAAAGATTGCCAGAAAATTTAGGAAGACGACGCTGAGGTCTTGAACCGAAATCTCAAAGGCAAGTTCTATTCCTAACTCTCTCCCTTTAACTTGTGTTCTTTACATGCCTAAAGCAATTCCAGGAGTAAATAAACGTAAAATTAACCTTTTATGCATGTTAAATTTTATCTAAAATAGTATGTGTTTACTTGTTTAGCATTTGCATGATTTTGCGTTTGTTTGCGTAAATACTTGTTTGAATTGATTTAAATTGAGGCATATGAAATTTTATAATCTCTAGAAAAAACTGGGACTTAATATTAACCAGTAGGAACCTTAAAAATGGAGGACAGAAGGAATGGAAGTCGCCGGAGGTGAAACAAGTGAAAGAAACAAGCAGAGTAGGTTACCTGGGCAAAGAAGCGGCTCCCCGCAAGGGGGAACTAGCTCTATTGAGTGTGGAGGCAGCTCCACATGGTGTGGAGCCGGCTCCACTCAAGGGGGAGGCGGCTCCCCTTGTGGGGGAGGCGGTTCCTCCCCCTTTGTCTTGGTTTTTGGCGAATTTTAGTTTTCTAGGTTGGTTTTTGTTGTTCCAGATGGATTTAGGGCTGTATGTGGAAAGTTTAAATAATGCTTAAAGTCATATTAAGGCTCCAGGAGGCATGATAATAAACCAATTAATGTTTATAGCTTGGATAGTAAATAGTTTTTAGAGAAAACAGTTTACTGTTATTGGACGTGGAGGATTTAAATTGCTTAACTATTTTAGCAATTTCCTGTGAAGGGTTATACAACTTAACCATGTATCTGTGGTAACATGTAAGCATGTTAATTTATATATTATTATTATTATTATGCTTATCATGGATTAAAGGATGGTTGCATTTATTCTCTGCGTTATAAATTGTTGGAGAATCATGTATCAGTAGTATAAAGTAAGCATGTTCAATTACATATTTTGTGTAATGACCTGGTATTTTTCTTCTTCTTTTTTTTTTTCTTTTTTTTTTTTATTTTTTTTTTCTCTCTCTTCCTTATTTTGTCTTTTCCCTATTTCGTCTTTTTCCCGTTTATCATTTTTCCTTGCATAACCTCACTTGTTGTGCTCGGATTTGATTCCGGTTTTGCATGCATTCATGATATTTGATTTCCATGACATTTGTATTTTTACTTTTGTAGAAAATACATTCTAGTTGCTTACTTTTTTATAAAGGGCATGGATGCATACTTTATTGTTATTATTATTTATTTTTGGGGTTTTAATGTAATTATGTAAAATAATTATTTTTCGTTTTAGGGACCATTTTGTAATTTATTTTGGAAGATATTTTTAAAAAGGACCTTTTTGCAATTTTTGGAAAGTGTGACAAGTGTCACATTCTCATGGTGCCACTTGTTGGTAATTGGGTGAGGAGACTTGGAAACATAACCTCTTGACATTTGGAGGGTGGAGATTCACCCACTTGTTGGTTTAGGATTGGTGCACGTGTTGGCTTTGATTGTTGACAAGTGTAGGCTTAAGATTAAGTCTAGGAAGGAGCATTGGATTAGTGACAAGTGTAAACTCATGGTTTAGTCTTGCATTGTGTGTGTGTGAGAGGTAGTATAAGAGTACATAGTGAGTGGAGGATTACTAGACCCTCCACTCACCATTTTCACCTTCATCTTCTTCATTTACATTTGTTCTTCAAAACTCTAACCAATCCACCATTAGAGGAAAGCTTAGTTTAGAGCTTCTTGGTTCATTTTGACTTCCTACCACTCACCTTAGACTAAAAACCTTGGGAGAGAAAATATACCTCTCACTTTTCTCTTCAATAACCCTAAACTTGTTTTATATTTTGAGCTTGGTTGATTGGATTATAGAGATTCAATTCTCTATTGAGGTAGGGGTGGTAGTATGTTTATATTTTAAGTGTTTTACAATCCTTGGGGTTTAATATATATTGTATACATGCTTTTAATATGATAGTCTTGCATATTATAGGAAACCCTCACATCTTGACTTAGGGTTTATTGATTTAAGTATGTATGATATGTATAAATCATGTATAGAAGGATTATATACTTTAGTAGTATGCTAAATTCTTGTATTTTCACATGTAGTGATGATATAGAACTCTTGTAGAATTATTAATGTTATATGCAATTTCCATTGACTTGAATTGCTATATTTGTTAAGATGATAATTCTATATTCTTGTGGATTACTAATTGTAGTTACCTTAGGAGCTTATTACTATAATGTTGAGATTTAGTATATAAAGCTTATTGTTGAGACATGATTTAAAATTGACAAGTTGTTAGTATTGTATTGTGCATA